CTCACCACTGTTTATAGGACAACATGACATAAAACGATTTTTATGATCTGACCCATTCCGTCTCTCCAGCCTCATTTCTCACCACTTATCTCACCTCCCACCCAAATCCTATTCTCCCTCCCACTCCCCAGCAAACAAATTCCGCCCAGGGTTCCAGCCTTGTCCTAACCTACTTCGTATTCTCTGCTGCACCTTGAATATTGCCTGGAACCTAGCAAACCTTCAATGATCATTTGTTAACCTAATTAATAAATAAAGTGGTAAAACTCTCTGCATGGTGTGTAGCACATAGAAGTATTAACAGTGACCTACCTCTATCATCCACATGATTTTTGCCTCATACTCTTCTAAGCATGTCACGTGTATTAATTTTATTTTCATAACTATATGTGATAGTGCTATTATGATTCCCATTGTAAAGATGAGGGAAGTGAGGCACAGAGAGGTTAGCAATTTGCTCAAGGTTACTCAGCTGATAAGCGGCAAACTGTTATAAATAGGTTGTAATTAGCATGAGGCTTCTATTATTTTCCAGGCACTGTGCTAATGCTAGATGCATTAGGTACGTAATCTCTCATTTCATAATAACTCCCATCTAATGCATGAAGAAATGGAGGTTTAGAGGGATTAGGCGACTTATCCAGGGTCACACGGATAGTAAAAGCTGGAACGAAAGTTCACATCAGGTCTGCCTGCTGTACCTCACACACATTTTGCTGAGCGGCTTCTGCTGGCTGTATGGAAGGTGACACCTTTGCCCCCTTGTCAAGCCATCCAAGTCCTCTTCCATCAAGACATAGCTCAAGGATCCCTTGGCTATGAAGCCTTCCCTGGCCTCTTCCCCACCCCGCCCCTAGCTGCTGCAGTCAGCCTTCCTTCTCTGAGCCTCCATATCCCATCCACCTGCCCTTCACACCCCAGTGGAGCCCAGCGGTTAGAAATTCAGGCTCTCCTGGTGGTCTTAGGTTCAAATTCTGGTTCTGCTGGGTGGACCTTGATTCACCCTTTGTGTGACCATTTGAGCTTTGATTTTTTTTTTCCCCCCATCTGTAAAATGGAGATAAGAAAATCAGTTCGCACAGGAGGCTGGGTGAAAGGTGTATAAATCTTAGCCAAATGCTTACTGAAGCATATACTACACTGTATTATAATGATCTGTGTAAATGTTCATCTCCATCTCTTAAGTGGAGGGCAGGAACTGATTCTAATGTATCTCTTTGCCCCTAGCACCCAGTATGGCTTAAAATAGATATAAATAAATGTGGAGTAAATGCATAAAAAAAGAAATAAATGAATCTTAGAATCCTATTCTCATAATTTGATACATAAAACCTAAGGACCTCATGTCACATAACTGCAAAGTTTGAAGGATCTTAGAGATCAACTTCCTGAGGTGTTCAGTCTTTTTGACTATCACCCACAGTTAGTAATATACTTTATATTGCCACCCAGTGTGTGTGCGCATGCCCCCACACACACAGAGAAAAGTTTTGGTGAACAGTTCTTGCCTTTCCTATGTGGGATAAACTCACATAATTCCTCTTCTTTTATCTCTCCTCCCCTCACCTCCTATTCTATCTTCTAACTTTTCCCTTCTCCTCCTTTCATTCTTTTCTTTCCTCTCTCTTCTATCTTTTCCATTTAAAAAATTGCTGTTTTAGGTCCACTACATTGATTTCATGCCCCATGAAAGCATTGTGACCTATGGCTTTAAAATCATTTATCTAGTCCAACTAGATTCCTTGTCCAGCATCTCTAACAGGAGTTCTATACTTACACTTCCCTGATGAAAGAAAGTTCCTCCCAAAGATACACAGTTTCGTTGCTGGACAGCATTTATTGTTAGGAAATTCTTGCTTCTCTTAAGCAGAAATGAACCTCTTGTAACTTCCGCATTGGTCCTAGTTGTTCCTATCTGGCTTGCTGGTCTCTCTGTAAGTTATCAAGCAAATCACCTCATTGAGTTTCCTTTTCTTCTCCTCTTCCTACAGATGTGTCCCACCTAAGTGCTGACAACCTACAAGTCCACCATTAAAGCCATTCTTTGGGGTTAAGGCATTGATCTTCACCCGTCATCTCCCATTATTATATCTGCTTGCTCTCAGGGAGATAGGGGTCACTGGGGTTAGTCCACCTGTAGTGGCTGAAGTCTTCATCTCCTGCAGCAGAGAAGTTTGTTGGGATGATGTGAAATATCAAAAGAGAGTTTCTTTAACCCTTAAATCTCTCTTGCTTGTTTTCTTTCCTCAGTGGCTTGGATCTTCCCAGTGAGATGCTCAGTGGGGTTAGCAAATAGCATTTTGGAAATCACAACCAATATTGAAGGGTGAAATAGTATGTTAGCCTTTAACACCTTAGTCTGAATTTTCCCCTGTCAGTCTTTTTCCCATCACTTTAAGATCAGCCAGGGGAGGGGAATTATAGTGCTAGCCCTCTATAGGGTCTCCTCAGGCAAGAGGCAGTAACCAGCCTTCACTCCAAGGTAAGTGTCAGATTCTTAGGACTGAAAGATTCCCTTGACCCTACACGTCCAAACTCTCTTCATTCATTCATTGAACAAGTATTTGTCGAGCATCTTCTTTGTGCTACATCTTGTGCTAGGTGTTGCAGATACCATGGAGATCAAGACAGTCCCCATTCCTGGCCTCCATGGTGCATGCAGTCTAGCAGTAGTGACAGTCACCAATGATAAGAAGGTGTGATAGGTGCTCTGCTAAGGTCAGGAGATGAGGGAGCTTGGAGCAGGGTCTCAGCTCACTGTGTGCTGGAGTCAGGGAAGGCTTCCTGGGGTGGACATTTGAGCTGAGACCTGAAGGACAAGGAGCCTGTGGCTGAGTAGTTAATCTCTCCCTGGCTTCCCTCCTTCTCCCCACCCCCCAGTGCAGGCAGCATCAATGCCCCCATCAAGTCATCATCCTGAACTCATCTGGGTCACTAGTTTAAATCAGTAGTTCTCAAGTTTTAACTCAGTCAGAATGCTGTTTTGTTTAGTTTGTTCAACTGCAGATTTTAGGATCTCTGTAGGATTCTACATCTGGGGTGGGGCTGTGATCTGCATGTCAGTCCATGGCTCGTATCTTCGGAAATCCTGGTCTATATCAGAATTCCACGGTTTTGGCCTTTACGCTTGACTATTTGATCAGTTTCTGAAGGAAAGAGGAAAAGGAAGTTCAGGAATGCCAAGGTTATCTTTCTGGGATTGGTGAGTCTGGGGAGGCATTGGGAGGGTGGTGTTGGTGAGAGCAGGGACTGGGAGTTCTCAGAGGGGTCCAGCAAGGGCCCTTGGTCCTGGCACCCAACAACCTGGGGGACCTCCCACCAGCCATGTTGTGCTCCTGCCTCACCTCACAGCAGTAGACCAAGGCACATGGTAGCACTGGCCACATAATTAGCAGAGCATGTCCAGAATAATTAAATGTTTCAAAACAGTAACAGCAGAGTAGTAAATCAAGTGCGGGTCCCTCTGAGAGTGGGGCCCTATGCAATGCAGGGGTCAGATAGCCAGCAGGCTCAGCAGTGGGGTGAGTGGAGCCCCGGCCCAGACTGAAACTCCTGGGTACAGGAAATGAAAGCAGGCCTGTGAATATTCAAAGAAGAAGGATCCTTAGAGATCACCTAGATCAGTTCCCTCCATGTCCAGCTGTAGAATCCAAAGCCCAGAGAGATGGCCCAAGCTCACCCTGCAAATTGGTGGCAGAGCCAGATCAGAATCCCAGCCCCAGGACCTTCCTTCCCCCTCTTCCTCTCCCCCGATCTCTTCTTTCCCGAGGTGGTTTCATCCTATGCAATGTCCATGTGGAAACCATCCACAAGTTGACAACTTGCAAATATCTATCCCCCATCTCCATCACGCATCTCTCCCCCAGCTCCAGAGTCCTATGTCCAGCCATCCCCAACTGCAGTGGCCTCTTGCTGCTGCTTCTCCCCTGCTTCCTTGCTTACCCACCTCCAGTCTGTCCCTCCTCCAACACACACATACACACAGCCACCAGAGTGTGAGTTTGCAATCTGCGACCTGGATCCTGCTCCGGTACTGCTCTCTGCCCAAGGCATTGCACACAGATTATACTCCTACCTCATCAGCACACAGCCTCCAAGATCAAGTCCTGCAGTTTCTCCCATGACCATCTGTCCCCTCACTCTGCTCCCACCAAGTGACCTTGCTGTGGCTCACGTATGCCCAGCTCATGCCTGCCCTGCAAGTGCATTCCTCTCTTTGGAACATTCTTTTCCTAGAACTCCCTGTGACTTCCACTTCCTTCATTCAGGTCTCAGCTCATAGGCCCCTCCCAGAAAAGGCTTCCTGTGCACATGGTCTAAAATATACCCTCGCCACTCTCTATCCCCTGCCTTCTTTATTTTTCTTCTTACCAGTTAACCTCCCTGGAATTATACTGCCTAGTTATTCCTTTGTTTTTACTATCTTGCTCACTGCTCACTTGCTCAGTGCCCCAAATGATGCCTGCTACATAATTGGCACTCTATAAAGAACTGATGGAGGAATAAGTAAATCAATAATCAAACAAATTGATTTAACACATGCATGCTCAGGGGCTCTTCAGTGTCAGGGGCTGTGCAAGGCAGTGAGGTCTCAGACATGGAGCAAGTGGACAAGGAAGGGTTCCTGTCCCCAAGGAGGCTGATCATTGTGTTGGGGAGACATGGACCTGTGTTCGCAGGAGGCTCAGAGTGACATGTGCAGCTTGTCGAGGATGAGTCTAAGAAGATGGGGTGAGGGTAAAAGATCCATGGGTCCTTGGAGCAAGGAGTTGGATTTTAGGGGTATCAATGTCCTTTTTTTTGGAGACAGAGTCTTGCTCCGTCCCCAGGCTGGAGTGCACTGGCAAGATCTTGGCTCACTGCAACCTTTGCCTCCTGGGTTCAAGCGATTCTCTTGCCTCAGCCTCCCGAGTAGCTGGGATTACAGGCGCATGCCACCATGCCTGGCTAATTTTTGTATTTTTAGTAGAGATGAGGTTTCACCATGTTGGTCAAGCTGGTCTCAAACTCCTGACCTCGTCATCTGCCTGCCTCGGCCTCCCAAAGTGCTGGGATTACAGGTGTGAGCCACCGTGCCTGGCCCAATGTCCCTTTTCTGAAGAGCTAGCAGCTCTCTGTCCTTTCTGGTCCCTCAGCCTGTTAGGCCAGCACGGGGGCCCATATTCATGATGAGGGCTCTTAGGTCCCCAGCTCCTATAAAAGGTCATGCTATTAGAGTAGGTGACAGCCAATTCTTGCCAGTGCTAGAATAAGGAAGGAGACTGACCTGACTCTACTGAGAGGAAGCTGAGCCTTACGCAGTGGATGTACAGCCCAGCCTGGGTGAGCCCTGTGGGTAACTTAGCATTCCTCAGGCCATCCCTTGGAAAACTCCATCTTCACCACTTCCCCTTTAGCCTTCCAGCCTCACAAGGCAGGCTGCCCATGGCTGCCCACCCACTGCAGCTTAGCCTGGGTGTCGCCAGTCTTCTCCTTCTGTGTAAATGGTATGATTAAGCTGGAGGGCAGAGAAAGGAACCCTAAAAGAAGCCCACTTCCTCCAGGAAGCCTTCTTTGCTTTCTCAGTGGGAGTGCTTCCTTCTTTCCCTTGCCCTGTAGCACATACCTTCCTCCTAGTTTGTTTATCCATGGGTCCATCCATCCACCCATCCATCCATCCACCCATCCATCCATCCACCCATCCATCCATCCAACAAACATTCATCCAGCACTTATTTACACTAGTGAGCAAGAACATGGTCCCTGTGCTCCAGAGCCCACAGTCTAATAAGGGAAAGTATTATTATGTAACTAGTTTCAAGTTAACAATTTAATTATAACTGTGATAAATGCTCTGCAAGAGACGTATTTGAACCCACGGGGAGACATTAGGTAGAAAAGACTTCCCTGATGAAGGAATGTTTCACCCAAGACCTCACTGTCTGCTATGGTAGCCAGTAGCCACATGTGACTATTGAGCCCCTGAAATGTGGCTAGTGTCACCAAGGAACTGAGGGTAGATGAATAATTTTATCAAAATAAAATAACTATTCTGTGTCAGGCCCTGTTAAGGCCAGTCCAAACTAGTCTGGTTGAAAATACCAACAATTACGTCTAGTTCAGCATCCACCTCCTCCCGTCACCCCAGCCCAATGCTGCCCCCAAGTCCCTGCTGAAGGATCTGGAAGGGATGGAGGTAAAGCATCCTTTTGTTCCTCCTCCTTTCCCTGAATTGGGTCTGTCTATCATCTGGTGTGTTAGGGCCTGCGAGGGAAGATGGAAAAAGAGGGACCTTTTACCCAACAATGCTCTGTTCACTATGCTCTGTTCAACAATGCTCTGTTCACTATGGCTGGACTCTGGAAGCCAGCTGCCTCCTAGGGCACAGGTGTGGATTCCTAGGAGGATCCTGAATGTGTGCATGCATGCATGCATGTGCGTGTGGGTGTGCCCATGTGTGTATGCTGTGGGGGTACACAGTCTGCTGCACAGTCTCTCTTATGCATGATCTGATCCAGGTTCACAGCTCCCCGCTGGAGTCCATGCTGCAGTCTCTTACTGCTAGGCCCTCTTGCCAGTGGTCATCTCTCTTGAGTGGGATGCTCTAAGCTCAGCTCCCTCCTTTCAGTGGGGATCTCTCCATGGACCTCACCCCCTTGCTACTCTGCAAGGAGGAAGCTTGAGCTGCTGCCCTGCCACCCCGTCCCTCTACCCTGCCGTCTCTTTTCAGTTCCTTTTTCTCTTGCTCAGGGAAACATCAAGGTGGATCAACAAATTCACTGTTGCTTCAGGAGACACCTGGAAAAAGAGAAGCCAGCCTCCCCCTCCTGCAGGCACCCAATATCTAGGAGTCATTTTAGGGTGCCTTGCTTGGCTGGGTGGTGGTGGGGGGTTGTGAGGTTAGGGGGAGTTTCTGTAACAACCTCCCCCAGGCTGACAACTCCTCTCTATCCTCTCCCTCCACTTTAGCTGAGCGTACAGACCCCAAAGAGATGGGATGGCCAGGGAGCAGGCCAGGCTTGGCTGCTTTGTAATCATACCTGGCCCCAAAGGTTCATTTGTTATTACCGAGTATCTATTCTGTGCCCGGCACTGTGTGGCTGCTGGTTACAGCCATGAACAAAAATCAGTAGTCTTCAGGGCAAATCATTTATTTTTCATGAGGGAAGTGGATAAAAACGAATAAGTATACATCAGGGCTAACCACTGGAAAGCCAAGTAATGCAGGGTAAAGAAATGGAGAGACCAAAGGGAGAGGCTGTTTTCATAGGGAGGTCAGGGAAACTGGTGGCTGTGTTTCAAATTCATGTTTCCCCCACTTGGAGCCCAGTAGACAATTCTGGGCCACGGGTAATCCGTGCTGCCATTGTGCAAGCCTAGTGAAGCCGTGAGGCAAGGGTTGGGGTTCAAAGTCTAGAGTCTTTCTTGGTTGCACGTGGTTGTGTATGTCAAGGCTCACTTCTCAACCCTCTGGACCCATGTCTGATCCATTCTGCATTCCCAGAAGCCATGTCTGGGTCTGGGACAGGGCAGGCTTTTGATGCTGCTTGTTCAGCATGGAGGAACCTTCAGGAGAAGGGACATCAAGGCTCAGCCTATCAGAGGCCAGCTTTGTGGCTTGAAGCTTGAGGCAGAGCTCAACCACTTCCCTGTCTTGCTCATGGGGAATCCGAGAGGTTGGAAGCCAGTGAAAGGCTCCAGATGCCTCGCTGGCTAGACACCACAGGCCTGAAGGTTTGGGGCTTGGAAGGCGGCCTTGGCCACAATGACCACTTCTCTCACTGTGGCTCAAGCCTCTGCTCCAGGCATGGCAGGGAATGGGGTGGGGTGAGCAACTGGGAAGTATAAGGTCTGCTCCAGGCTGTCAGAGGCTGGTCAGTGGCTCCTGGGCTCTTTCAGGGCCTTATCCAGTGGTTGTCACCGGGAACAGACCAGGAGCACTGTGAGTCTCTCACCATGGCTACCACACCTGGGTGGGCCCTGGGCTCCCTCCTGCCCACCCTTCTGCTGGGACTCACAGGTGAGTCCTGATTCCTGTCCAGAGAGACCCTCAGGGCAGGCAAGGAGACCCCCAGGAATGACCAAATCCAGCTACCGTGTCTTCCTGAAGGGAGACTGAGGCTCAGAAGACGTGACCGAACTGTTTTCCTGCCAGTCAGGTGCTATTTTTCATCTTTTCTTCAATGTAGACCTTGTGGATAAAGGGAGTTGGTGGGAGCCAGGGGATCAGAGGAGGAAGTGACCTAAGGGTGAGGGGCTCAGGGGAGGTCAGGAGGTAAAAGAAGAGCCCACCTCCCAGTTTTCCTGATGTCAGCTCTAATCTGGGTGGCTACCTGTTCTGGATCAGAAAGGGTGTAAGGGTGGAAAAGACAGAGAGAAAGAAAGAGAGAGATAAGTCGCCAGAGTGATGGAGCCTCCAGCATTGGAGGCATGGAAGAGTCCTGGACCCAAAGTCAGACCGGCCTTCTTACCTTCCTTCCTTAGCCACTGATAGGCTGTGTGACCTTGAGCAAGTCACGAGACCTTTCTGAGTCTCTGTTTCCTCTTCTGAAAGTGGGGACAATAATACCAGCCTCCCATAGCTGGGATGTGGAGGAAAAGAAGCATACACAGCTGAAAGTGTTTTCTGAACCACATGGTGCTGTGTGCAGGGTGGGTGATAAGGGCAGAGCACAGTTCAGAAGGTTCCAGAGCTGTGTGCTAAGAGGACGAGTTCCTATGGCCTCCTGCGCTGCCCTCTGCCTGTCATCCTGCTTGTCATTGGTTGTTTATTTGCCTTTACCCCGCACCTGACCAGATGCTTCTCAAGGGTAGGGTTTTTGTCTGACTCAGCTCTGTGGTCTCAGCACCCAACTCCTGACCTGGTGCAGAGCAGGGGCTCAGGGAATGCTGCGAAGACTTGGGGAGGTTCCTGCTCCAGAGCTCTGCAGGGCTGTCCTTAGGAGGAGGGGTGAGTCTCATCCTGCAGTTTTCCTGGAAAAATTCTGGGAGACAGGTCTCAGGTTATACCCCAGAAGCAGGAAATATTTTGTCATAGTCCTAGCTGTGTGTGAGGGTAAATGGAGCTGCTTTTCATGGAGAGCGCTCCCTGTCACTGGAGGTAAGCAAGCAGACGACAGGGGTCTAGTGAGGTGTTGATGGGAGGGACCTGAGTAGGAGGGCCAACCATCCCTGTTGGGGTGATTCTTGACTTTACATTCAAGTCCTTATAAACTTACATTCACAGTGGAAATCCTGATTCATCACCATTCCCTTCCTATCCCAACTCGGTCCTTCTCCAGTTCTTCCCATCTCAAAGCGTAGAGCTACCACCCACACAGCTGCTCTAGAGAAAACCTGGGAATTGTTGATCCATAATTCATTCTGTGCCTCACCCCCTATCCTGCCCGTCACTGAGTCCTGTGGGCTGTATCTTCCAAATGTGTCTCGAGTCTCCTTTTCTCTCCACCCTAGTCCAGGCAACCATCACCTCGGCCTGGAGGCCTGTACCAGCTTCCCCACTGGTCTCCCTGCTTCCATTCCTGCCACCCTCCTTCCCATTCTCCACACAACCCCAGTTATCTTCTAAAAAATGTACATCAGACCACTTTGCCCCTCTATCAAAGTCTTGTCTGGTTTCCCATCACTCTCAGAATAGAATCAAGATTATCACCATGGTCCCCAGGCTCTTCTCACTCTGGACCTCTTTGCCATGACACTAGGGTCCTACAGACTTCTTGGTTTCTCAAGCCCACCAAACTATTCCTGCCCGAGGTCCTTCTCTCCTGCTATCCCTGCTGTCTGGAATGTCCTTCCTCTGTCCCTTCCCATGGCTGGCTCCTATTCATTCCTCAGTTTCAGCTTAATGATATGTCACCTCCTCAAGGAATTCTTCCCCAGCTGCCCTTCTAGAATAAGTCCTCCCCGTATTCTCCATCTGTGCACTCTTTGGGTTTCCTTGAGGGCATTGGGCTCAGTCGTAATCACATTTGCATTTGCTTGTTTTCTTTTGATCAAGTGCTGATGTGCTGCCTAAAGATGGAACCAGATACAGCACATAGTAGGTCCCCAGGGCCTGACACAGCTCTGGTGCCACTGGTGCCTGTGGGGTGTGTCCCACCCTCAGTGTGCAGTCACAGTTGCTCTTTCCTTAGCTGGACAGCCCTTCATCTCTCTGACTGGTCCATCTCAGAGGACAAGCCCTGGAGACTCGGTGCCTTTCAACTGTACTGCTGGTCCCTTCAACTCCAAGGACTTCTCCCGGGACTTCAGTGTTACCTGGTTGAAGGACAGTGATGAACATCCAGCCTCAGCTCAGCGCCTGGTGCCTGACAATGAAGGCAATGACTTCATCACCAGCAAGGCATGGGTGACACTGACCCAACAGGATGTCTCATCTGAGATCACCTGTGAAGTCACCCACAGGGCCCTGTTAGAGCCCCTGAAAACAACCATGAATCTCTCCCAAGTGATCCGAGGTGAATGGGCAGTCGGGTGGGGTGGACATTAACCCTGGAAGCATCCAGCTTTCAGGGGTTTTGCCCAAAGCCTCATTTCATAAATGGAGAAATGAAATTCTTCATTGATTTCTGATCGTGTGTATTGTGGTTATAAGTGCAGGTTCCAGGGGCTCACTGTCTGGGTTTTAATCCTAGCTGTGCCACTTTACAACTTGTGGGATCTTGCAAGTTATGTGACTATTTAATGCCAGTTTCTTTGTATAATAGGAATAAGATGAGGACCTACTTCATAGGTGTCCTGTGAAGAGTAAATGAATTATTCCTTATAAAACACACATAACAGTGCCTGGCATGCAGTAACTTACTTATGAATGTTTCATCTTGTTATTATCTGGTCCCAGATTCCCTTTCTAAACATATTTGTTCTATTAATGTCATTGTTACAGTTTTTTAATTAAAATGTTTATTATTCATTTAGTAATAATGAATAGCCACTGTATGCCAGACACTGTGCTCAGTGCTGGGGATGCAGCAACGAGCAAAATAAAGTCTCCGTCCTCATGGGCATCACCTTTTACTAATTCTTAAAATTACATTTTCTGATATGAAATACTTCAAAAACACAGAATATGGCAGACACCCCTGTATCCTTACCCATATTTAATGAATATTAACATTTAGCCCTATTTGCTTTACATTGTGCATACAAGAAAAAATTCTTTACAAAAAGGCGAGAGACCTTGAGGCTGGTCCCTGGGAGAGGAAAGCATGGGTGGCCACAGGCAGGGGCTGATTTCACCAGATCTTACTTCCTATTCCTCTGTCTAGTTGTCCCCACCCTGAAGATCACCACTGAAACCTCTGGGACCCGTGTACGTGTGCAAGACAGAGTGAATCTCACCTGCCACGTCCTCCACTTCTATCCCGCCCACCTGCGACTCACCTGGATGGAGAACAGGCGCATGATCCAGACCCTGGCGTCCCCTCAGGCCACCAGAAACCGAGATGGGACATACTCTCTGGAGCACACGTGGCAGGCAGAGGTCACGCTGGAGGAGCGTGAGTTTGCTTGCTGGGTTGTCCACGATGAGCAGCCCCCGCTCAAGGCCAATGTCACCCTGCAAGGCCAGGTGCACAGGCAGGGGAAAGGTGGGTGCAGCCTCTGACCCAGCCCCTCTCGACATCCCCTGTGGGCAGCATGGCTGGGGAGGGTCGGAGACTCAGGGCGGCATCAGGTGATGGTGAAGGATGGAAGGATACCCTCAGCTGGTGATACAACTCTCACGCATTCGCCCCCAAACTCCACTCCTAATGCCTTCCTCCACACCCTCCCCAAGAAGAAAGGGTGGGACTTCTCTTCCCTAATTCCATGCATTCTTGATGTTGAAAGTTCTCCACCTTAACACTTGACTGCAAGAAATGGCAGAGATTAAGGACTGCTGAGCACCAAAGTGCCTTATAGAAAGGCTATTAATCAAGACTGGCACAGTTGAAAGTTTCTGGATGGCACCTTTAAAGAGAGGCCAGAATTCTGAATTCAGCTGGAAAAGAGGGTCTGTGCAGGCCCTTACACGGGGTCAGGACAGGCCCTTATAGTTGGTCGGACAGGTCCTTACAGTGGGTCAGACAGGTCCTTACATGGGGTCAGAACAAGCCCTTAAACAGGGTCAGCACAGGCCCTTACATGGGGTCAGGACAGGCCCTTACAGTGGGTCAGACAGGCCCTTACATGGGGTCAGTGCAGCCCCTTACATAGGGTCAGAACAGGCACTTCCATGGTGTCAGGACAGGCCCTTTGAGTCAGTGCAGGCCTTTACCTAGGGTCAGGGCAGACCCTTACACGGGGTCAGAACAGATCTTCCTCCTCCTCTTCCCTTCCTTTTCCCCCTCACTTTCCTTCTCCTTCCATTCTTCTCTTTTTCCTTGTCCTCTTCACTTTCTCCCTTTTTTTGAGTGGTTTTTTTTTTATATTACCTTTTTTTTTGTTTTTTTGTTTTGTTTTTACACTTTGATTTTAGGTTCAGGGCCCATGTGCAGGTTTTTATATAGGTAAATTGTGTGTTGGGGGAGTTTGGTGTACAGCCTCTGTTATTTTTTGACTTTTTAATAATAGCCATTCTGGCTGGTGTGGGATGGTATCTCATTGTGGTTTTTATTTGCATTTCTTTAATATTAGTGATGTTGAACATTTTTTCACAAGCTTGTTTGCCGCAGATATGTGTTCTTTTGAAAAGTAGCTGTTCACATCCTTTGCCCAGTTTTTAATGGTGTTTTTTTTTACTTGTGAATTTATGTAAGTTCCTTATAGATTGTGGATCTTAGACCTTTGTCGGATGCATAGTTTGTGAATATTTTCTCCCATCTTGTGGGTTGTCTGTTGGTTCTGCTGATAGTTTTTCTGGCGGGCCTTGCCTTCTGGAATCTCCTCTACCTGTGATCTCTCTCACTCTTTCTGTCCTCAAATGATTCTCCCCACAAGAGGGAGCTGTCTGCTGGCAGTTCAGATTCAGAGAGCGCGGGCTGCTTTCCTTTGGTCCAGCTTGGCCCAGCTTGGGAGAATGAATTACCGGTCCAGAGTGGGCCTGTTGGGTGGTGGGGGCAGACAGCGTCCGAGAGGGTGGGTGGAGGTTATTAGGATTGGCCGGGCCTGGCGAACTAGGAGTAAGCCAGCATATGGACTCAGAGCTCTGCAGAACCACATGAAGCCAGAAAGGACAGTCCCTTTTGGGCGGTGAGGGTGTTTGCCTCTGTGTACGAGTATTACAGTGCAGGCCACTGCCAGAGCAACGGTGGACGGGTGCCGGACCGGCAACAACAGCCCGTCTTCCCACCAGGGCCTTCTACTTCCCCTTCTCTCTCTCCCTGACGGAATTGGCCTCTATCTGGCTGCTGTAAGAATTCTTAAGGAGAATGATCCCACTCAGCTTTCAATTTCTCCGTGCCGTTTTGTCTGTTGTCCAGCAGAAATAAGAAAAACACTCACCCAGCAGGATACACAGGTCTGGTTGAAAAACTGGAAACTGGTCCTTTCTGATCAGAAGCAAGTTACAATATTTCTTTATTGACTCATGCTGGGTTTTTCTTCTCTTATTTTTCTCTTTTGCCTGCATACAGTCTATCTGGCCCACTGCTGCAACATTAACCCCCTGGGAGCATCCTTTTCATTATACTGGCTCCCCTATGTAGCTTTGTGGGGCCCCATGCTCTGCAGGGGGAAGGGCAGCCCCTTCCTTTTCTGGCATTTAGGCCCCTTTCTATTTGGTGTTAACAAAGCATTGCAGCTATCCTTCCCCAACCTGGCTCATAAATGCCTTCATCAGCACCCTCACCTCTTACGCACTCCCCACTGTGTCTCTGTTCCTACTGGCTGACACCCGTAGAGCATTTACTGCACACTAGGCATCCTCAAATATGTTATCTGAACCTACAACAGAGCCCAGAGCTAGCACGGGGACCAAGGTCTCAGAGGTTCCAAACAACATAGCTGGGGTTAGAATGCAGGCATGTCTGTTCAAAAATTCAATGTGTTTTTCTGCATTTTTCTTTCCTATCCTGCCTGAGAATACAAAGCTTAGTGTTATCTCAAGTCTCTTCTCAAATCTCAATTTTAAATTTCTGATATTTATTTCTGATATTTCTGATATTTATTTCTTCCTGAATTGTGTGGTCTTATTTGTCCATGCCATTCAGTTCTCACAATTGGTACTTAAACTACAAGGGTGTTCTGAAAGTCCCCTAACCTGGGGTTTTATTCCATTTATACCCATCTTCCATGATTAGACTCTCACATCCTTGAAGCAGGGACTGGCTCTTATGTTTCGAGGTGGCCAAACTTCGGAGTCAAACAGATCAGTGTCCCCAGTCATGTGACCTAAGACAAAACAACTCCCTTTCTTTTTTTGAGATGGAGTTTTGCTCTTGTTGCTCAGGCTGGAGTGCAATGGTGTGATTTCAGTTCACTGCAACCTCTGCCTTTCGGATTCAAGTGATTCTCCTGCCTCAGCTTCCCAAGTAGCTGGGATTACAGGCACATACCACCACGCCCAGCTAATTTTGTATTTTTAGTAGAGATGGGGTTTCACCATGTTGGTCAGGCTGGTCTTGAACTCCTGACCTCAAGTGATCCACCTGCCTCAGCCTCCTAAAGTGCTGGGATTACAGGCGTGAGCCACCGCACCTGGCCGCAACTCCCTTTCTGAGTCAAGTTTTCCATCGGTGCAATGACAATTCTTACACCCACCTCAAAGAGCCCTGCTTAAGATTCTTTTCTTTGACTCCTGCCTGGCATCTGGACAATGGGACCCATAGCAAGTTATCTGCAGTGACTGCAGTCTCCATAGTGCCTAGCCTAGAGCTGAGCTGCAAGTAGGACAATATTAAAGGTCATTTAATATAGAACCAACTATATAGAAGTAGAGGCAGCTATGAAGTAACAGAAAAAGGCCTTGACTTGGAGTCAGAACTCCTGGGTTACAATGTCAGTTCTGTTCACTGTGAGGCCCTTGGATGAGTCACTAACCCTCCCTGAGCCTTTTCTTTATCTGTTAATATTAAAAATACGATTAATAATTCCTTGGATGGTCATTGTGAATATATGGTGCTGATGGTTACCATTTATATAGTGATTACTGTGTGCTACATATTCTACTTAGTTACATCCCTTAATTTATTAATTAACTCTGAGAGAAATGCAAATCAAAACCACATTGAGATACCGTCTCACACCAGTCAGAATGTCAAGTATTAAAAACTCAAGAAATGACAGATGTTGGCGAGGCCGTGGAGAAATAGGAATGCTTTTATACTGCCGGTGGGAATGTAAATTAGTTCAACCATTGTGGAAGACAGTGTGGCGATTCCTCAAGGATCTAGAACCAGAAATACCATTTACCCCAGCAATTCCATTACAGGGTACATACCCAAAGAAATATAAATCATTGTATTACAAAGATATGTACATGCGTATGTTCATAGCAGCACTACTCACAATAGCAAAGCAGTAAAATTAATTCCTTGACTTGGAATCAACCCAAATGCCCATCAGTGATAGACTGGATAAATAAAATGTGGTACATATACACCACGGAATACTGTGCAGCCATAAAAAGGAATGAGATTGTGTCCTTTGCAGGGACGTGGATAGAGCTGGAAGCCATTATCCTCAGCAAACTAATGCAGGAAGAGAAAATCAAACAGCATGTTCTCACTCATAAGTGTGAGCCGAATAATGAGAATACATGGACTCAGGGAGGAAAACAACAGACACTAAGGCCTTTTGCAGCGGGTGAGGGGAAGGAGAGCCTCAGGACCAAAAGCTGATGTATGTGGGGCTTAATACCTAGGTGATGGGTTGATAGGTGCAGCAAACCACCATGGCACAGGTTTACCTATGTAACAAACCTGCACATTCTGCACATGTATCCCAGAACTTAAAGTAAAATAAAATTTAAAAAAAGAAAGAAAAGAAAAATGTACTTCATCAAACCTAATGGCTAAAGAAAGGAAGTCTGAATTTAATTATACTCCAGATATCAAAATGAGATGAATAATTGTTATAAAATTTAAGCCATTCTTCTTCTATAAAAAACAAATCATCCCCATTTTACAAATGAGAAAACTGAGACTCTGAGGGTTAAGTTGCTTGGGGTCCAGTGGACAGCTGGAAATGGAAACTTGGGTGGAGTGAGATCCTAAAGCCTGTGCTCCTAACCTTTTCTCTATGCTTCTAACGTCTTCTCCATGACCTGGCCTCTGAGAAGTGAGGTTCTCTTCCATTTTCAAAGACTGAGGGTAGGGCTGAGTGACAGTAAGGGGTGCTGACCCTGGAGCCTGACTACCTGGCTAAGATCCCAGCTCTGCCACTGTCTAGTGGACTTTAACAAGTTATTTAGCCTGTCTGGCCTCAGTTTCCTCATCTGTGAAATGGGAATAGTAACAGCTCCCACTTCTGAGGGCTGCTGTGAGAACTCAGTGACTTAGGGAAGAGCCTGTAGGCAGAGTAAGTGCGAAGTGAGTGTCCACTATGCAGTATCTGTAGGAGTTTACCTCCTTACAAACTGCTGTTGCCCATTCTACAGTTTCATTGGCCTCTGATACCAGATTTGGAAACTGGTTCCTATCAGAACATAACCTTTACATCTTATGAAAGAGGAAGCAATGGGCTTCTTGGCAGATGCTGTGTATTTGTTCGCACCGGGGTTCAGGCACTTCTGTGCCCTCTCATGGGAGGGGTCTATCTTTGCAGGCCGGAGTGTGCAGCCTTACAAGTTGCAAGGCCCCCTTCAGCGATCTGAGCCTGGCACAAGGATCCGATTGACCTACACATCCTCAGGGTTCACAACACACCAGGTTACTGTGACCTGGCTTAAAAACAAACACGAGCTCCCAAACCCCCAGACCAGCGTCCAGTACAGTGGATACACCTACAATGTGACCAGCAGTGTGCTTGTCCTGCTGACGGATGATGATGTATTCTCCCACGTCATTTGCCATGTTGAGCACAAGTTGACGCTGTTTTTCCAGAAAACCATTGGCCTGGACCAGTACCTCCGGGGTAAGATCTCTCTCTCTCTGCTCAGCTGAGGCAGTGCAGAGATGGGGTGGGGACTTCTCTGAGCCTCAGTTTCCTCAATGAAAAATGAGGAAGAACCCTCAAAGATAAGCAAGCACATTCCTTGTTTGATTGAGGCAAGAATTTAGTGAAATAATACCTGTAAAGTGCTTAAGACAGTGCCTTGCTCATGCTAACTACTCAGAAGTGGCAATTGTTGTTAGTTGGTATTATTATTTACAGCACTTCTCAGAACACTTCTTTCATCTGTAAAATGGAGACAGGATATCTTCTGGGAATTCAATTTTATTATTATCATTATTTTATATGAAGAAGATTTGAAGGGCTTGGGAAACTAAATTCTAGGGCCTATGATGTCTTTAGATGGGTTGAACCAATGCTTGGCTGACACGAATTCCATGAGGTCATAAAGTATCATGCCTAGAAGAAATCTTAATGCTCCTTCCACTGTTCTGACAACTGTAAAAGTTAGAGAAGGCAAGTGAGTGGTCCAAGCTTGCGTAGCAGTAAAATTAATTCCTTGAAGGTATGTTGGACTTTAAAATCTACAAAATATGTCTCTCTTCTTTTTCTCATTCACCAAATAGGGGGAGAAGTGTGCTATTAGGAAGTACACAGATCTTATTACATGGAGGAAGATATTGGTAGTAATGTCTCAAACATTTACAGCTCACAGACAGTAAGGCACACTCGTGTGAATGGACTTTAATGTGTAGAACTGCCCTATACTGTTTGTGCCATTTGTGAGTTACAGAAGGAAACCGAGGCTCAAAGAAGTGAAGGCTGCTTAAGGTTGTAAAGCTGGTGAGTGAGAAACCTTGGCGTGAATTCCGGCTTCCAACTCTGCTCTATTTACCAGTTATGGGATCTCCTGCAAGTTGCTTATGTTCTCCCATCCTCAGTATCTTTGTCTGTAAAACAGAGAAAGGATAGTTCAGGGAATCTTCCTTATCTGAGTATTTATTATGTAATTCTCTGGAGCTAGGACAATTGTGTTGAGAAAGCAAAAGCTATAGAAAATATAAATTTTCAAAAATAATTGATTACATATAAAATTAGCTCCCACTCCAAGCCCTTCCCTATTCAACACTGCATGCATCTCAGGGCTGTGCTTCCTCTCATGGAAATATCTTTGTGGCTGTCTTTATTTGAGTTCCCCTGAAAGCAAAGCCTGCACCCAGGACTTGGGGGCAGGTGGTTGGAGGGTGATGCTGAGAGGTTGGGATGGGGGCAGGGGCAGGGAGAGAGATACTAGCTTTGTAGGGAGTCAGCCAAGAAAGAGTGAGTTATTGAGCTGGGTGCCCCTGTGGACCACTGGGGCCCAATGACACTGGATACCCTCTGAAGAACTGGGTAGAATATGCCTGAGAATTGTCTCATGAAGGAGGAGAGGTGGGGATGTGCCTGCAGTTGGGAGGTGGCATTTCATGTTTACAGAGAGAAATCCCAGGCAGAGAAGAGGAAAGGGTTTTGGAAGCCCAAGGTGGGACTCAGTGTGAGTGGTACTGCTTTGCACCACTGCAGTGAGGTCAGGCAGCTGGGAGAGGAGGCGTGGAGCCCAGAAACCCTCTGCTATAGGGTTGGTCTTGCCTTGATTGAAGTGTGGCAAACCTCACACCATCTTGTGCAAATTGAATCCATATTCATTGCAAAGTGCAATCTGAGATCTTGCAAAAGTTGTATTTCAAGAAGTTGAGGCAGGTGATATTGGGGAGCTGCAGGGATCACAGGCAAAGCCTTTGACTGTTAAAAATGGAATCATAATAATAAGAAAAAATTCATGATGCTAATGATACTGTGGGCACTTCAAAAGAGAGCACTTGGATTAAAAGAGACCCCTATGAAAATCAATAGGACACTCAAATAATTTCAGATGATTTTTCAAAATTACTCTTTAATGATTGTGTGAGATTTGAAATGAAGGATTTGTTGGTCCTATAGTATAAATTCTCAGAAAAAACCATGCCAGCTTCCATCCACTCCTAACACTTATTCTTCTAAGAGATGGTGCCTCTTCGCAATTATATTCTATATTTGTATGCAAATATACATTAAGTAAATTTTTAAAAATTTAAATGCTTTTCAAGATGACATTCCAACCAATTCCTTTTTTACAATTTCTATGAAATTGAGGCCTGATTTTGTATAGGCTGCTTCTAAGTGGAACTTTTTTTTTTTTTTCTGATACCAAGTAGCTTCAGTGTTTACATTATTTGGTTTTGTGAGAATTAAATAAGAAAATGCATGCACACTGCCTCAAACATTGACATTCAGGGGATGGGAGCAGTTGTCATCAGCTGTGCTCAGGCCTTTGTCCTCCCGACACTGGCCCTGACACCAGACAGCCAGGAAAACTCACTGGCGGTTGAAATGGGCCATCTCAGCCTCTTACCTGTTTTTATACTTTTTGGTCCTTGCCACCTTCTAGAACCCATGGCAGTTGTGTGGAGGCACCTTACCCTGCCCTCTTCTCCACGGGCACCACCCCAGTTACCAAGATTTCAACACCCGGAGTCCTCCATTCTCAGGCCTTGCTCTTTTCTTCTTGAGATCCCTGTGCTCTCCTGGTGTGCTGAAAGGGAAACACTAAGTTCAGGTAACAAGCTCAAGGAGGGTGTCTGCCTCAGCTGCCATTAGCAACATCACTGATAAAATTTTACAAGTCTGGGTAGGTTGAGGATGATAAAATATTTGGGAGTTGGATTTCTGTAACTCCTTCAAATTTCACTACCAAAAGAGTTGCTTCCTCTACCCGAGAACAAGAACTGAAATCTCTCTTAACTAGGCCCACGAGAGCTGATCTGACCTCAGAGAATTTCATAATTTTAGAGTCTTAGAAACAGAGGGAAAGTGACTGGCATAGGTCTCACAGTTGGCTATGGTATCAGTGCGAGGACCAGAATCCGGATCAACCAACCCTTAGTTTACTGTTAGAGCTGCATGGTGTTGTGTGTTCATAAGAAGTCTACTGAAATATTTAGTGTTTTATAAGATTTCAAATTTGTCCAGTTTTCCTTATTGTGAATACATTCTATTGCATAGCTGAAAATCTGGTTGAAAAAATTCTAGAAGTCATGAGATCATAATTTTGGAAGCCTAGAATCATAAATGCTTATAGCCTTGTAGTTTGGGTGTTAGAATAGCATAAAGGTAAAACCTGCTGTCTCTGGTGTAAACCCACCTTTGCTATTTGTGCCCTCAGGCAAGTTACTTAACCTCTCTAATCTGAAGCTCCTTCCTATGTGCAATCTTAATATGTTGGCTTCTAAGACTTAGAGTCTGTGAATCTTCAAATCTTAAATTTATCTAGTCATAGAGTAAGTTAAATGATTTGTAGCTTCTTCAGTGGAATTCATACCTCATCTTTTCATCTTTAATGGCCAAAGTGAAAAAGAAAAGAAAGATTAAATGGCTTTCATCAATCCCATCCAACCATCCACTCATCCATCCATCCATCGATCCATCCATCTATCTATCGATCCATCCATCCATCCATCCATCCACTCATCCATCCCCCCCACCCATCCATCCATCTATCCATCCATCCACTCATCCATCCATCCATCCATCCATCCATCCATCCATCCATCCATCCATCCAAGCATGCATTCACTCATGAATTTTCACTGTCATTCAATCATGCATTTCCTTATGTGTGCATTTGTTAACCAATACCTAAAATATTCCTCTGTGGCAGGCTCTGGTTAGGCCTAGGCAGATGACTTCATCCTCAAGGAGCTTTCAGGCACCTACAGATGGCTTCCCACAATAATTATTTGTTTTCTCTGGGCTTTGTCAGTTCCCCCTACAGTGACAGTGTTCCAGTCTTCCACCTCCTCCAGCTTGGTGGCCGTTACTTGCCTCGTGCAAAGATTCTATCCACAAAACGTGCACCTCACCTGGCTAGAGGATTGCCATACACTCAAAGGCGCTGAGCAACCCACATTCAAGAAGAATGATGATGGGTCCTACACCCTGGAAAACCTGCTGCTGGTGAATGCATCAGTGCAGGGGCCTGAGCGGGTGCTTACCTGCATGGTGGAACATGAGGGACAGCCTCCCAAACGGGCCAACCTCATACTGTCCACAAGAGCCCACACTGCTTATAAGCCCATTGGGAGCACAGGTAAGTTCATGTCTTCTTCTATGAGCACCTGGGGTCACTTCTGTATCCTGAGTGGATTTCAGAAGGTACTGGGAGGAGGGAGAGCTTGATAATCAGTGAGGTCTTATCCCACTTGAGAGTCTGCAATTCCTTAAATAACCGGAATGGTTTCTGGCCGGTGGATTCCTTTAAATCTGGCCATCCTGAAAGATTCTTTAATTTCTGTGGAAAGAGTGATCTCCTGGCTCAATCTCCTTCAAAATTCCCAAGAGAGAGTTCAGCTTAGTGCACTCACTACTGGTGCTTCTGAGGTGGTTGTCAGCAAGGCTGTCTTGTTTCAAATATTTGTTTCAGTTATATGGAGGCGAGCTTGCCAGCACATAAAACCTGTTTGCGTGATGTTTGCTTCAATGGTAGAATAGGCTCTTCGACTTGATTCTTGCACAGGCACTTCACCCATGTGTGCTTCAGTCTGCTTATCTGTAGATAGTGTCTAAAAGAGGTTCCTAATTCATCGTCTTTATGAAGATTAAATGAATTAATACACGTAAACTTTACATACGGTCTACAATAAATGTCAGCTATTGATACCTATTATTTGAATTCAGGTAAGATTATTTTAAAATTTAGTTTCCAGTAGTTACAGCTTTGTAAACTTAAGCAGTTGAGTCAATTACCTTCCCATAACCTCAGTTTACTCATCTAGAAAATGGTGCTAATGATACCAAACTCTTAAGATTGTAGCAAAGTTATATTAAATGACCACAGGCCTTTGGGACATGGAGCTGATTCTATTATACTTAGGTTTGTGCCTCTAAAGCCTTTGCACAGTGGCTGATATGTGTCAGATATTCAAATCAGCATTTGTTGAGCCAAATTCAAGGTAAGGCTTATAGGTCAAGGTCAACTCTTATTTCCAAGAGAGAACTACAGAATCAGGTGCCACCTGCAAGCTCTGGAACTTCTTGACAACATGACCTCAGAGAAGGCATTTAAACTCACAGAGCCCCCATGTGATGGCTCCTTCTATCCTTTGGCATTTAGGTCCAGAGATGCCTGCCCTTATCTTTGTGGTTTTCCTCCTGGGCCTCAAGGTGCTGCTGGTGATGAGTTTCACAGCGACCTACATCTGCAGGAAGTGGAACCTGTGACAGGTGAGCATAGGATGGGCCTTAGTCTTCAGGAGTGGGTGACAGGCTGGCAAGAGGCTTACAGGGCAAGCCCACAAAGTCACTGGGGCCCTCAAGAGTGATCCAGCCTCAAGGGAAGGTTGTGAACACTCTTTATTTTCTCCAAATGTTTTTTGGGATTCCCAGAGTCTTTCAACTCCATGCATTGTGTAGTGCCTTGGAGGTGGAAAGGTTTCAAATTCCATTCTTTGAGACCCTGGAGATGGGGGGAGGGGGGATCCAAGGTGTAGTAGTGGTATGAATGTTGAGACCCAAACTCCAGAGTCCCCCAATACACCATTACATGTTTCGATTTTCATATGATATATTTTGGGGATGCATAAGGAAAGTATTGCTAAAATCAATGAATAGAACCTATTCAAGGGACTTGGAGGTTCTGACTAGTGGCAAAGATGAATGTGGATATGGGAGAGAGTTTAGAATCCAGAAAGTGGCATTGGGGTGTAATGAGTAGGGGCCTTACTTCTGATCTGTGCCACGAATCCAGACCAAGCAGAATACCTGCCATATAGTAGGTGCTCAATAAATATTTGTGAAATTAATACATGAATAAACAAACACATGAATGAATGATTTTTTTTCTCTACAGCCCCTGCATGCCCTGTGATACATTACTTCCAGCCTTCTCGAAGGGGTTCAAGCGGGGAGAAGCTGCAAGGACTTATAGGTCACTAAAGACCCCTTTATTCCGTCCCTGCCACCCCCATCGCAGACACACTCCCTTCTGCACACCCTCCTGATGTTCCTTCCCTCAGAGCTTTGGAGCTGAGTCAGGGACGGATTTTCTTCATAAGGATTCCAGGGATGTCTTGACCCTCATGTACTGAGCTTCAAATTGGCCCTGCTTCCACCCAAGAGAACTAAGCTGATCATTCTACCCTGGTCATGAACAATCCTTAATTTTCAGAGCAGTTTTTACTTTTGTGCAGGGTTTTTGAAGATATGATTTCATTTGAACACACATATATTTTGAAATCACTGGTAAGTTGCATAAGCATTTTTCTCTTCTGAAATGTACAGAAAAAATACAAGCAGTACCCAAGGACCTACCATCCTATCTTTTAAAAATAGTCACATTTGCCATTATGATCTTCAGTTCTTAAAAAAAAAAAAAAAAACACTGTTGTGAATTTGTTTATCATTCTCAAGCATGATTTTATAACTTTATAACATATGTATAAATCCTTAAGCAATGTATAGTATTACTTTTATATTTTTAACATTATATAGATGCTATGATACTGTACACAGCATCTGGAACTTTATTTTTTTATGCTTAACACAGTTTGTGAGGTTTATTCCTGTTGATATGTGGAGATACATTTTATTAATTTTGCACTGTTCTGTGGTCTTCTCTTGTAAGAATATGCCACAATTTATCAATTCTTCTCAAGACAGATTTTGAAGCTTCATTCAGTGTTTTGCTAGTACAACTTTGCAGCAAACATATTTGTTTCCCTGGGCATGTGTGGGAGAGTCCGCCTTGTTCCTGTAGCTTGGGGCACAAAGCTGCAGTATTGGTATGATTTGGGAGCTTTTGTTACGTAAAAAGAATTTCCAATTGTTGCTTAAGTTTTACTCTTTCCATTTATCCCTTTCATCTCGCTATATCTGTCTCTCTCTATATAGATACAATATTTTTGAATGTTTATTGCATTTTTAAAATAGATACCTTTTAGGAAGTTAAAGAGTTAAGGAGTTTTCCTTTCTTCTATGCTGATATTAACATATTTTAAAATCAAACAAAAGCAAAAGAAATCATCACCAGCAGACTTGAATTATAAGAAATACTAGTGGACACACTACAGGCACAAAGAAAATGACACCAGGTGTAAATCTGGATCCACACAAAAGAATGAAGAACAGAAAAAGTAAATAGATGCATAAATTTAAGACATTTAAACAAAACTCTATAGATGATAAGTGAATGTTTAAAACTAAAAATAATAATAATGCAATGTGGATGTTATGATAATAATGCATCAATATCATATAATACCTGAAACAATGGCACAAAGGCTGGGAGCGGGAATTGGATGTACACAGCCAGAGTATTCCTATACTATACATACAGTGGTATACATATTGGGACTTCTTTTTCAGGATCACTGTATAATTTTATATTTTTCATGTTGTCTTTTATGCCATTTACAAACAGCTTTTTTTAATATAAACCTTGTGCATTTTTATTAAATTTATCTTTTTAAGACTTAAATGTAAGATCTGGAATTACAAAAAGAAGAAAACTTGGGAAAAGCTCTTCTGGACACTGGCTGAGGCAAAGACGGAGTCTCACTCCATCACCCAGGCTAGGGTGCAGTGGCGTGATCTCAGCTCACTGCAACCTCCACCTCCCAGGTTCTAGCAATTCTCCTGCCTCAGTCTCCCAAGGAGCTGGGATTACAGACGCGCACCACATCTCGCTATATTTTTCTGGTGGTGTGTGTGCACACGTGTGTGTATGCACTACAGATGGTAGGAATCTTACGTGTTTTATAGGTAGGAATCTTATCTTTTTTTCTAGAAGGATTAATTATTCCAGCACTTGCTGATGTTCACTGCCACCTTTGCTGTATAGCGAGTGTCTATAATTCTGTGGTTCCTTTGATGAGCTCTTTGTTCCGATGATCTACTTGTCTAGCTGTCTGTCAATACAGGCAAATTAAATTGTGCTTCACTTTACTGCACTTCACAGATACCACGTTTTTCGCAAATTGACGGTTTGTGGCAACCCTGCATTGAGCAAGTCTATTGGTGCCATGTTTCCAACAGCATGTGCCCAATCCGTGTCTCTGTCACATTTTAGTAATTCTTGAAATATTTCAAATTATAATAATTATTATATCTGATATCTGTGATTAATGATATTTGATGTTATTATTGTAACGGTTTTGTGGCTCCACGAACCACGTCCTTATGAAACAGCACACTTGATGGAAAAATGTCTTGTATGTTCTGACGGCTCCACCTACTGGTCGTTCCCCCATCTTGCTCCGTCTCCTCAGGCCTCCCCACTTACCCTGAGGCACAGGAAGGCACAATAACCCGAAATTAGGCCGATTAATAACCCTGCAACGGCCTCTAAGTGCTCAAGTGAAAGTGAGAGTTGCAAATCTCTCACTTTAAATCAAATCTAGAAATGATGAAGCTTAGTAAAAAAAGGCTTGCCCAAAGCTGAGACAGGCTGAAAGCTAGGCTTCTTGCACCAAACACGCAGCCAGCTGTGAATGCAAAGGAAAAGTTTTTGAAGGAAATTAAAAATACTACTCCAGTGAGCACATGAATGATAAGAAAGCAACACAAACTTATTGCTGATGTGGACAAAATTTCAGTGGTCTCGATAGATGATCGAACTAGCCACAACATTCTCCTGCAATATCTCCAAGGTATGCTTGTATCTGGCTTAGCGTAGCTCTACAGTAAGTTTTGATATCTCTTTTGGGAAAATCATTTCACCTTTTCTTATCCAAAATTGTTGTGACTATTCTTGGCCCAAATGCATTTTAGACTCACTTTATCAAGTTTCATGAAAAATCCTTTTAGATTTATTATTTGATTCCACGGAATTCATATATTATTTTGGAGACATTTACATTTTTCCAGTGTTGAGCCTTCCCATTTATGGGCGTGGTATACTGCTACTTATTTAGGTTTTCTTTTATGAAGTTCAGTTTACAATTTTACAGTTTTTTTCTCTATAATGGTCTTACGCATCTTTAGTTAGAGACGCCTTTAATATTTTCCAGTTTATGGAATCTTTAAAATTTATTATTACTTTTTTCAGTGGTTGTTGACTACTGAATAGGATCGCAATTGAGTTTTGAACATCAATCTTATAGCTGGAAAGCTTATGAAATTCTCTTACTAGTGCTAACAGTATGGATATTCTTTTTATATACAACTCCTTTTTTTTTTTTTTTTTAGATGAAGTCTTGCTTTGTTGCCCAGACTGGAGTGCAGTGGCGTGATCTTGGCTCACTGCAACCTCCGCCTCCCAGGTTCAAGCGATTCTCCTATCTCAGCGTCCCGAGTAGGTGGGATTACAGGTGCATGCCACCACACCAGGAGACAGGGTTCCACTGTGTTGACCAGGCTGGTAGTAATTCCTGACCTCTAGTGATCCACCCTTCTCACCTCCCAAAGTGCTGAGATTACAGGTGTGAGCCACCACACCTGGCCTTTATGTGTAACTCCTATAACATTCATCTAATGATCTAAATTAGTGTTTATCTTTGTCAAAGTTACATGTACACACTATTTAAGAGTCAAATAAATAGTTATATAAGTTTTACATACAAAAATTGGAGTCTCCCTAACATCCAACCATGTTCTATCTCCCAGAAGCAACTATTCTCAACTTTTAATGGATTATCTTAGATTGTTACTGCCATATCTCATATAACGTTTATATCACCACTTCTTCATTTTTCAGTAATAGGCATTATTTTTGACCTCCCATGATTGCAGATGGTAATATAATGCTCCATCATTGCTGATTTAATGCCACACATGAACACTTTCTATTCCCCATCAACTGAATATGATTATATTGTAATTTGGGATACTTTAAGAGTCAGTGTCTGTATTGTAATAAGTGTTTGGATATTCTTTCTTTCTCCTTCCTTCCTTCCTTCCTTCCTTCTTTCCCATCCTCCCTCCCTCCCTCCTTCCTTCCTTCCTTTCTTTTTTTTTCTTTTTGAGATGGAGTCTTACTCTGTCACCCAGGCTAGAGTACAATGGCATGATCTTGGCTCACCGCAATCTCTGACCCCTGGGTTTAAGCAATTCTCCTGCCTCAGCCTCCCTAGTAGCTGGAATTATAGGCATGCACCACCACGGCTGGCTAATTTTTGTATTTTTAGTAGAGATGGAGTTTCACCATGTTGGCCAGGCTGGTCTCAAACTCCTGACCTCAAATGATCCACCCACCTTGGCCTCCCAAAGTGCTGGGATTACAGACGTGAACCTCCCTGCCCAGCTGAACATTATTTCCAGCTGAGTCTGGTAATGTTCCCAGCTTTTGCTTATGTTCAGTCTCTCCTGTGTATGTTTGTGTAATCAACACTATAGTCAAAATACAGACAATTCCATAACCATAAAGGTCTCCCTGGTGCTACCTCATTATAGTGATACCCACCCTCACCATACTAAGTCTGGCAAATGCTAATCTCTTCTATATCTCCATATTTTGACAATGTTATGTAAATGGGATCATACAGTATGCAACATTTTGAGTTTGAGTTTTTCACTCAACATAATGCCTTTGCCATCCTTACAAGTTGTTGCATATATAAATAATTTATTTTTTTATTGCTGAGTGGTATTTTATTGTATGAATGCATACTGTTTGTTAGCCATTCACTTGTAAGACAAATTTGTCTTACACTGGTTGTTTCCAGGGTTTGCTGTTACAAATAAATCTGCTACAAACATTTGTGCACAGTTTTTTGTGTGTATATAAGTTTTCATTTTTCTGGGACAAATGCATGGGAGTGCAATTGCTGGTTCATTTGTATAGTGAGTGTATGCTTAGTTCTTTTTAAGAAGTTGACAACCAGTTTTATAGAGTGGGTGTATTGTTTTACATTCCCACTTGCAATGCATTAGATATTCAGTTTCTCCGCATCCTAGCCAGCATTTGGTATTGTCACTATGTTTTACTATAACTGTTCTATTAGGTACATAGTAATAATATCTCACTATGATCTTAATTTGCATTTTCCTGATGGTTAGTGATGTAAGCATCTTTTCATATATTTATTTTCTATCCGTATATCCTTTTTGGTAAAATATCTCTTTATGTCTTTCACACATTGTGATATTGTGAAATATACATTTGGTCTTCAACCCTGTTTCCTGCCAAACCACTCCTAAAATCCTTAGACTCTCCAGAGAGATATCTTTTTGTGTCCTAATGAATTGACTGATGGCTGGGAGCACCTACGTAGCTTCAGGATGGGGACTGGTCACCTGAAAGACCAATTTTTAAAGACAGACAGGGTACCTGAAGAGT